CGCCACAACGCCCGGCTATTTTTCGGTTGCAGCCGTCATTGTTGTTTGGCGGGTCCGGGCTGGGGATTCGAACCTGCCACCTTAGGTGTACATGGCTGGTGCCTTAGCCGGTTGAGCTATAGGTGTCGAGCCTAAACTATGGTATCTCTTTGGGAAAGAATCTTATGAAATTACTGAAAACCAAATTTCAGGAAGCATTTTAAAGGTCTAGAGTGTAAACATTTGGGACAGAATGTTAAATGAGACAAGTACATAATATTATGTATATTGAACTATGTTAATATAATGCCTTAAATACAAGAAATGTTCAAAAGATTAATAATAGATTTAAGGACTATTATTCTGTTGTTCTGCATTGTGTGAGGTTTGTACCATGAGCATATTTCTCTTATAACCAGGAAAAATGAGGCTTATTTTTAAAAACATGTTTCATTGCTATAGTTTGGCTGGTCACGTGAAGAATATTGTTCACCAGGCCTTCTGGGACGTCTTAGAATCGGAGCTAAATGCTGATCCTCCTGAGTATGAACATGCCATCAAACTGTTTGAAGAAATCAGAGAGGCAAGTTGACATTATTTGCATCAATTAGTGTTGGGCTGCTATAAAGACTGGCATAGACTGGGTGGCTTATAAACTATACAAACTTATTTCTCACAGTCCTGGAGGCTTGGAAGTCCAATATCAGGGCACCAGCAGACTCGGTGTCTGCTTGGGGCCTACTTCCTGGTTCATCGATGGCACCTTCTTGCTCTGTCCTCACATGGCAGAAGGGAAAAGGGAGCTCTCTAGGGTCTCTTTTATGACAGTACTAATCTCATTCATTCAAACTCCACTCTCATAACCTAATCATCTCTCCAAGGCCCTCCCCCCACTTCCTGGTACCATCCCAATGGGGATTGGGTTTGAACATTTGAATTTAGGTGGAACACAAACATTGAGGCTATAGCAATTAGTTTTGTTTTTCTTTTCCCAGAAACTGTTTTACATCCTTTGTATTGGCTACTCTTTTTGAAAAACCGAGTTGAGTCACTGCAAGGGTTTTCCCCTGCACCTTCTGGAGTAGGGTGAAGGCTGGGAAAATAGTGCAGTGGACAGAGCTCAGGGTGAGGCTTACGGTGCAGAGTATTGGTTAAGAGTTCAGACTTTGGAGTTAGATAGTCCTGGTTTACTGGTGGACTCTTAAGTCTCTGTCCCCTGAGTACTAACGTGGTAGTCAAGAATTAAATGAGATGACAGCAGTAATTTTAGCTAACATTTACAAAGGATTTGCTCTATGCCAAGCACTATGTTATTCATTTATCCTTACTTTGATTCTGTGTGGTAGTTACTCCTGTTATAATTACTTTGTATAAAGAAACCAAGTTCCCTAACTCATGTGGGATCATGCAGCTTTGAAAGGTGGAGAAGGATTTAAACAGATTCACTCTGGCTCAATCTGTGCTCCTAGCCATGTGCTATGTGTATAAGAACAGTGTTCACTGTGTACTGAATACTCAATAAATAGTTTGCTCATATAATATATAATAAATATTTTATATCTCAAATATGTCTAATGGCCCCCATGGGGTGTTCTCATCCATTTTTATTTAAAGGCTTCTTTTGGAGGCCTGATGTACAACATGTCTTCTCTGCATTGTTTATCTGGAGCCTCATTAGAGTCTAGCAGGTCCTTGAATAAAGTTGTTCAGTGTTATTTCTTTATAACACTGATGTGGAAAAAAAAATCAGCCCTAGCTGATTTATAGAGTTTGGATGTTCTCTCCATATCTGCATGGGTTTTCTCTAGGTACTGCAGTTTCCTCCCACATCCCAAAGATGTGCATGGGCATGGCGAAATGGTCCTAGCCTGAGCGAGTATGGGGATGGCCACACTCAACCCTAAACTGGAATAAGTGGGATGGAAAATGAATGAATGAATACAAATTATTGTCAAATAAGAATTTTTAAAGTATATAATAATCATACAAATGCACAACAATAAATGGTGTAGTATGAAAGTGCTCAGCAAGCCAGCCTGCTTGTGTTTACTTTTGAACTGCATGGTGGGAGGAAGTGCTGCATACATTTTCACTTTGCAAACATTTATTCTTTGATTTAACCCAGTACCACTCTGACCTCTGTTACTTACTAATTCACCAAAAATGGGGTAAATAATTATCCACTTGTTTTTATTAATCTTTCTTAAATGTATGTATAGCTCATATTTATTTTAGTGTTTAATATTAGAAGTGTTTTAAAAGTTATTTAGAAGTTTGGTAATGTTTTTGTGACCAGAAATATGATGTTTATAATAACTCACTTATGATGAAATTGGTTTTAGTGTACATCATTTCACTTAAATTCAGTTTCTAAGAAGCTATCAAAGTAAATCTTAAGTCAGGACTTACTATGATTTCAGTAATATTGCTGCCTTGTTAATTGTTTTCATTCTGAAAATATCAGGGTTTTTTCATGGTGGGGGAACTTTAATTCAGGAGATGGAGCTTTCTTCTTAGCCTTGAGATACTGGAGTGCTCCTCTGACCCACCACTCAGTGTCAATTTCTATGGCCTCTAGGGCTGTAAAATATGGATGTGAAGCTTGGTGATCCAGACATTGAAAAGTGACAACCTTTATTCATGTAATGATGCCGTTAATTTTTCTTTCTTTCCCTATGTAGATTCTTCTCTCTTTTTTGACTCCCTGTGGCAACCGGCTTCGCAACCAGATCTGTGAAGTTTTAGACATAGACCTCATCAGGCAGCAGTCTGAGCACAGTGCTGTTGACATCCAAGGCCTGGCCAACTATGTCATCAGTACAATGGGGAAGCTGTGTGCTCCGGTGAGAGATAATGATATCAGAGAGTTAAAGGCTACTGGCAGCATCGTGGAGATGCTGAGGTTAGCATCTTTACTGCTTGCATTTTCTTAGAGTACTTTTGAGTTCACTCCAAAGGGAAGTATGAGTATTAGGAAACACAGAATAATAACTGGTCTCTCAAAGGAATTCTTGACACTAGAAGAAAACCATATAAGCAGGGAATAAGTTTATTATTTACTGTGTACATAGAGTTTTCAGATAAAGTGTTCTGACAAGGTTGTTAGCATGCATTGGTCCCTGGGGGGGGGGGGGCAGTGATGAAAAAGACAGAATCCCTGACCCTAGGGAGTTTATAGTCTAATGGAAGAGAGAGACCTTGAACAATTAATTACAACTGTGGTAAGTGCAATGGAAGGGAAAATAGAGGGTCTAAATAGAGCCTCTAGTAGGTGGACCTAGTCTAGTTAAGGCTTAGTGAGGGTCACTAGCTGCTATAACACATAAACTCTGAATTCTCAGTGATTTAACCAATAAATGTTTCCTCCTTACTTATGTCACATTCTGATTCAGGGGTTCTTGGTCAGGCAACCTTTCACATGTCATTCATGTGGAAGCTCCTCTGTTATTGGCTCCACCCCTGCCTAGGTCCTTGGAATCCTCTCCATTCAGCTACTGAATGAAAAAGAGATGATGAGGAAGACATACCTAATATGTAACTACATTGGCCCAGACACATTCCTTTGAATGTGTCACATGGTCTCATCTTCATTGAAGAAGGGGCTGGGAAAGGTGGTTGCTATCTGGAAACACATTTCCCAGCCAGAAATCTGCACTGTGTGCAGAGAGCACAGACCTTTGGTGTTCAGCTAGCCTTTTCTGCTGCAGCTTTCCTGAGGAAGTGGGTTATAAATCATGAGCATCTCATTGGACCATATAGACAATAACTTCCTCAAGATGTGAGAGAAAAGAAGAGTCTATAATCCTTTTTGTCATTGAAGGGAACGTTTCATCCTTTTATGTATAAACTTGGCTACATTGAGAATTGAGTTTTATATAGATGTTTTGTAAAGGTAGAAGAAGGAAGCTAGTCTGCAGTGGGTAAAGGACTTTGTTACCTCGTGCAAGTTGATAGCCTCTAGAAGTGACACTTTCCCTGTCTGGAAAATGGCCTTTGTGTGTCCTTAGAGTTGTGCTCTTCTGGCAGGTTGTGATCCTTCAGTTATAGGATCCTTGCTTTCAGTTATCTTATTACCCATGTATGTTATGAAATTTGCTTCCTTCATCTTGGTCATTTATTGAATGCCTACAGCTCTCTGCATGTCACATTCATTATCTCATTGACTATTCACAACATCCCTCCAAGCTTGATATTATTCTCTTCTCTCATTGTCTTAGGAATAGAAACATATACACTATATTTGGACTCAAGGGCTTTCATCTAAAAATTTCTTCTTACATTTTTCACATATTATTAAGACTAATTGCTTACGCTTCTCAATGTCTTTCTATCATTTTATAGATGTATGTAATGGATCAGCTGGTATTATATCTACTAAAGTAAATACTTTTGAAATCTGTGAAAGAACACGTTTGGAATACATATATGACCTTCTATGAGTGACCTTACCAAATGGTGATTGGAATTTCAAAACCATTTGGGGATGTTTATTTTTTCTAGCTTGGAACATAGATAATAGTTAACGAATTTCAACTTAACTTCTTAATCACCTAACTATTTTAATTGTAAATTTTTAGACAAATATTCCATGTTCTGGACCTCATGAAAATAGACATGGCCAATTTTACAATTAGGAGTATTAGACCATACCTTCAACGCCACTTGGTGGAATATGAGAGAACCAAGTTCCAGGAAATTTTAGAAGAAACTCCAAGTAAGTATAATATAATATGTATTTATTTTGAAAGGGGGTGAAAATATGATACTTAATTTTTCACATCTTATGTAGAGTATCACTAAAGAATTTTGGCCTTTCTAGTAGTTTTTGTACCTTCTAAAATTGACATCACAAACTTATAAGTGTTTACTCCATCCCAGGAACTGTGCTAAGCACTATTCGTTTCTTCATTCCTTCATATATTAGGGCCAGATGCAGTAGTTCATGCCTACAATCCTAGCACTTTGGGAGGCCAAGGCAGAAGGATAGCTGGAGGCCAAGAGTTTGAGACCAGCTTGGGCAACGTAGCAAGATCCCATTTCTATGAAAATAAAATAATCCAGATGTGGTCGCATGGGCTGGTAGTCCCAACTATAGCAAGACCCTGTCAAAAAATAAAAAAAGAGAGAAAGATATTTATTGAGTGCTTGCTATATTTCAGACACAACAATTTTGCTGTCCTCAAGGAGCTGACATCCTAGTAGACGTGACAAATAAACATATATTGTCAAGTTTATTATCAAATGCTATAAAGAAAAATATTCTAAAGGGACAAATAGTAATGGGGCAGGATTGGGGGTAGAGGGGTTTTTTTCCCTCCAATATGAAGTACCAGGAAGACTATTCTAATTAGTGATATCTGAATAGAATTTGTAAATAAATGAGAAAAGGGGCATGCAACGATGCTTGGGAGATGGGAGAAGAACATTCTAGCTAAACGGAGCTGCAAGTACAAGGCTTTGCAGCAGAAACTTTCTCATAAAGTTTGACAAATGCAAGGCAGATATTGTGGCTGGACTAGAGTAGGTAAGGGGACAGTGGCAGGTGGTGAGGCTAGAAAGTAGACCAAGGCAGGTCACCATTTAGATTTCATTACACATGTGATAGGAAGTCACTGGAGAGTTTTGAGCAGGAGAGCATCTGATTTTCATTTTTGAAGATTATTCTGAGACCTGGTTAGAGAATTTAGATTTTATGGGAGCAAAGAGGGAAGCAGAGATACCAGTTAGGTATATTGCAGTTGTTCAGGCAATAAATGATAGTGGCTTGTTCCAGCTAGTAGCTTTGGAAGTAGTGAGGAGAGATCAGATTCCAGGTGTATTCTGAAGATAGAGTAACAAGATTTGCTGAAGGTTGGATGAGGAAGAAAAGAGGAATTGAGGATGACACTAAGGTTTTTGGGTTGAGCAGCTGGTTAAGTGGTGATGCATTTTAGTGAGAGGGGAAAGACTAGAGGAAAGAAGGGTAGGAGAGGATGTGGAATCTAGAGTTCAGTTTTGGATTTAGAAATGAGAGACTAGAGTTCAGGAGAATAATGGGAGCTATGAATATACATTTGGGAGTCATAAGTATATTTATGGCATATAAAGCCATGAAATTGAATAATAATTAACACTTACACAGTCCTTAGCACATGCTAAGCACTTTACCTGTATTAACTAATTTAATCTTTACAGAAGCTGTAAGACGTTACCCTCTATTTTATAGATGAGAAAACTGAAGCATGGAGAGGTTAAATTGCTTGCTTCCATAACATAACTTGTAAGGGATAGAGGTGGGGACTCATACAGGCAGTCTGGCTCTACAGTGTATTTTCTTATCCATACAATATTGGGTGTGACTACCTACTATTGGGTAAGACTACCAAGGGAGTGATAGTAGATACTGAATGAGCCTGACCTGAGACACTCCAGTATCTAGAGGTTCAGATGAGGTAGAGGATCTCTGTCCAGTAGTAGTAGCTAGGGTGGTATAAAAGTCAGGAGGGTGGCTCAGCACCCATAGCACAGTGGTTACAGCAACAGCCACATACACCAAGGCTGGCGGGTTTGAACCCAACCTGGGCCAGCTAAAACAACCATGACAACTGCAACAAAAAATAGCCAGGTGGTGTGGTGGACACCTGTAGTCCCAGCTACTTGGGAGGCTGAGGCAAGAGAATCGCTTAAGCCCAAGAGTTTGAGGTTGCTGTGAGCTGTGACGCCACAGCATTCTACTGAGGACGACATAGTAAGACTGTCTCTCACACACACACCAAAAAAAAAAAAAGAAAGAAAGAAGAAGAAAGTCAGGAGAGTGAGGAGTGTCCTGTATGTAAGATAAGTGAAGGAAATATGTGAAAAGGAAGAGGTGGTTAGATGTGACAAGTGTGACAAGTACTGCTAAGTAGTTGAGGAAGGTGAAGGCCAAGTCTGGACCTAGATTTGACCCTATGATGCTTGTTGGTAACCTTGATGAGAGCAGCTTCAGTGGACTCATGGGCATTAGAATCAGACTGGAGGGGAGCCAAGGGAGAATGGGAGCAGAGGAAGTATTACTTCATTGCATTGTCATAAGTCCAGTTTCCTTGTGAGGTAGGTACTGCTATCTTCTTCATTTTATAGGTGAGGAAACTGAGATGCCAGGTGTTGCACAGCTGGCAAGAGGCTGGCTAACTTCTCATTGGCAAATACTTTACACCAGCCTCTGCTATTTTATTAACCAGGATGTAAGCCTGAGTTAGGTAATATATGTTAAAATAATCAACACAATAGCCTTATATACAAAGCAAAACAGGTGCCACTGTTAAAAGGGCTCTGGCAGGCTGGAGTGCATCCAGGGGAGAGACCACATGAAGGCCACTTGTGGAACCTTCCATGAAGCAGAGCTTGTTTTGCATGCTAACAAGGAGACTCGGGTTTGGTGGCACCACCCTTTATGCCGATAGTGACTCAGAGATTTTGGTAAAGTTCTCTAGGGCAGACTAGGGTCCATACAAGAGAAGTAGCAAACGGCCAATTTTGACCTTCCTAACAAATTAGAGCTGTTTTAACTTTGCAATGGGCCTCTCTATGACAGGTGGTAGTCAATGCTGGCTAACATTTTGTTTGAGTACTGATTACATGCCAAGTCCGTACTATGTGCCAAACACTTTTCATTTATTAGTTCACTCAAGCCTCACAATCGCCCTGTGAGATTGGTATTATTATCATCCCCTATTTACAAATGAGGAAACTGAAGTTAAGGTAGCTACTTTAGGTGACTGCTGAGCCTGAGCACCCAGACAGATCTCTGCCTCCAAGAATGTGGATTTAGACACCACGCAACACCACTTCTTTTTTAACAACATATCGCCTATCTGTGGTGGATACTATAGATCGGGGTGTCCAAGCTGTGACCTGCAGGCTGCATGCTGATTTTGTAAGGAGCTTTTTTGCTTATCTTTGTGTCAGATATAACAAAAAGTATACACAGACCTTCTTTGGCTAATCAGCTTTTCTTAGTGTTTGTATATTTTCTGTGTGGCTAAAGATAACTCTTATTCTTCCAATGTATGTCAGAAAAGAAAAAATGTTGGACACGCCTGCTGTAAATGAATCTCTAGCATCAGCTGGCTGGTGAAACCAGATGACTTGTAAGGATTGTTCTACAACAAAAATTGTATAAGTTCAAAGGTTATGTTGTTTTAGATCCAAAGGGAGAGAGAGGAAAGGAAGTAGAATCCTACTTAGAATCTGAATCTGAAACCTGAACTGTAGAATTTTCCTGAGACTTAGTGGTTGGTTTTGCTGGTGTGCCTGTGTATGTACACATGTGTGCAAATGTGCCCACGTCTTGAATCAAGATATCCTGGAATCTTGAGTAAATTCCTTAATGCAGAGTTGAATTATAATTTTGTTTATCTCAAATTATTTACTTCTGTTTTTAAAAACCAGGCTTAATGATCTGTAATCTATTTGCATCTTTCCTGTTGATTTGGGTATTTTTATAGATTTAGTAAAAGAGCAAATCTAGCTTTGCATATAGGTCATTATTACCCAGTGGAAGAAATCAAGAGCCCAGAAAGCAGCGCGCATGTCATCTGTTAATTATATCCCCAAGTCACTCTGCCAAAAGTCAGCCCCTGTGCCCTAGTATCAAAATAAGAGCCTCACAATATCACATAGGACAAAAATGTTGGATTTCTGTGTACATGATTTTTATATAAGAATTATTGAGAAATTAACACAGAGAAGTACTCTGGGCTTCTGAATTGACCGCAGGAAAACACTGTGTTATATTTTGCCTAAGGTGAGATTTTATATAATTGGCTATTTAAAATATACCTAGGGAAACTTTGGGCAATGATTGAGTGTGTATACTAAGTAAGCATCAACAAGATAACTGTATTTGATCCAACAACTAAATTATCTGTGGAAAGAATGACAGATTATCCTTGGTGGGAACCATAAGTAATTTTTAAGATACTCAGAAAAGTATTTATTTAGATACTATATCTTTTTTAAAAAGTGTTTTCATGAGCTTTATTTCATGTGATTCTTTCAAAAATTTATGAGACATAAATATCTGTTTCTGAAATATATCAAACTGCACTATGATTGCCTTTGCCTGGCATATAAAGCATTCAGGAAATATTTATAGAACATTTTTAAAGAAGAGCAAACCTGATGCTCAGCAATGACCTACTCGAAGTCAGAGTCACACAGCTGGTAAACAGCAGAGCTAGAACCAGAAGCTGGGTCTCCCAAAGCCAAGTCCAGATTAAACTAAACTGCTACTTTTTCTACCTTCTTTGGATTTTTCAGTTTTGTGTTATATTAGCTAGGTTATGTTGTAACCCAAAGAAGCTCTAGCTGACTTAGCCAAAGAAGAAGTGCTAATGGAAAGAAAGATGAGAGCTGCTCACAGCATTGAGGAAAATGTAAATAGAAGGCAGGAAAGACTAGGCTCCATCGTCAGAATAATTAATGTGTCCATCCTTGAACACTCTGGTGACAATTCAGGGTCCCGTGGGTATATCACTCAGCTATGCCAACCCATAGGGAGATCAGACCTTATAATTAATACTCACAATTGAAAACATAAATTGAGGGGAAATGGTTTTTCAAAATCAAGACCAAAAGAAGGGAAAGTGGGAAAAATAAAGGGAAAGTGAAGTGTTGCTAGGCAAATAAGGTAAGGGAACTACATTTTCATAGGTAAGGGAACTACATTTTTCTAACTGAAAATTGGGACAC